GGTTGGACCACAGATTGTATCCACTGATGTGACCTCCGAAAGAATAAGATGAAAGAACAAGAACAGATGTTTTTGAAACTGCTTGAAAATGGAAATGCTTTAAAAATGCAACTGGGTTTTGAGAATTTAGAGACTCACTTTTGCTGCAGATCCATGTTCTGTAGAAGTTACTTGTATACCAGAAAGCATTCACAGAGAAGAGCTGCTTACCAGAACAAATTAGGTAAAGAGCCCAAGGGTACTGAGCTTTTTTTWAAAAAAAAGATGAGAAGAATAGTGTGGCACATAGAAAATGTTCCTATAATCAACATTTGATAAAAAAAAAAAAGGAGGTTGGGGAATAATTTCAATTAAGTTAAAACACTGTAGAATAGCGGCCTCAGACAATCTGTTAAAATTTGACTTTGACATAGAAAGTACGGAGATCCTGAGATAGTGCAGTCTGACTAGTCAGTCTACATCAAGGGGAAAATATTACATATAAAGCCTAGAAATAGAAAAATTTTAAAAGCGTTCCAGACGAAAAACGTGTATGGTCAACTTTGAAAACAAAGATKTTCAATTATAAAGAAACATCTGTGTTAATTCATGAAAGAGCCATGATGCTCTAACTTGCCTCTCGTTTTGTTAGGCAATCCATTTTTATACACATATATATTAAAGAAGTCCTGCAGATAGCATTAGGAGAGCACACACATTGAGTGGCTCTGTTTTTAAATGTCAGTTTGGAAGACATTAATTTGGGAAAGAATTTCTAATAGGAACTAGGCAGTCTGCCACATTACTTGAACGTCAGAAAAACATTAAAACTTGTTTAAGCCCTCAGCCTAACAAACCTCAGCATTATTTTAACTTTTTAGAGTGCCACAGCTGTATACAGTATTCGACAGGGAAATACCCTAATGGGAGATGGCAGCTTGCTGCTCAAGGAGCTGACAATCTGCATTAGACACAAGGCACCACAATACGACAAATGAGTCTGGAAAGTTTGAGAAGGGGCTACTAGAACTTTAAATCACATTGAGAGAGGCTTTCACTGGCCAGCAGCTTCCTGTGCTATACTGATACATAGAGTTCACTGCTAGAACAGCCTTTTCCTTTTATCATAGGGAAGTAGCTACAGAAGTATTGTAAGAAACAAGTTTAGATGGACTTGTAAAAGCAACAATGAGTTTACTAACACCCGTATGAGCAGGGAAGCTACTCCATCCAGAGCTGATGTGAAGTAGCTTGTGAAGACAGCTAAGCTGCAGGGAAAAGAAGCTTCAAAATGAACTTTGAACCTCATGCATACGTGGAGATCATGAAGTTACAGGTCAAGTTAGAAAGCAACATACTTAATAAAAGGAAAAAAGTATATAAAAATTAGGATATGGGACATTATTGCAGCTAGAAAAAAAATAGAAAGAATAGATCAGCATCCACAGGAAGCTGAGCAGCATCAGCTTGAGGAAATCGAAGGCTGAAGGTATTGAAAGCGATGTTGAAGCAGGGGCAGGCAGTTGCAATTGGATTTCATGTTACCTAAATTGAGCTTAGCAGCTGGAGAGGCAGAAGGGAAGTAACCATGTGTGACTGAGGGATCATTATGTGGAAAGTGTTAAACTTGAAGTCACTCCAAAAAGCATTTGGTGGAAGGAGGCCTCAAGCCAGAACCCTGAGGATGGCAAGATTACTTAGTCAATACCTGATGGGTCTGCTATGGACACCATACACCTAAAATCATGCTATGATATATTTTAATGACCTGCTGCATTTAGTGGGTTTAAGTACAGTTCATTGCTACATCTTCCATCACACATGCCGTTTTTCCTTCCCTAATGCAGCCTGCTTGTTCTGTTCTTTACCTACACTGCTTACAACATTGTTTCCTCCAGTCACCTCAAGTTCCCAAGCTGTAGAAGCAAAGCCTGCAATATTGCAGAACGGTGTTTTGGCACCRTGCAGCTCCTTGCAAACTTCCACACACGGATTACTTTTTCCATAGCTGTTTTGGAAGTTTGACTCGAAACACGCAGATGCTTTCAGCCTGGGTTTGGGGCAGCCCCCAGAGGCACGAGAGCAGAATTACAATTCGTGCTCTACATTCCCCCTATCCACTCTGAGGAAGGAAAACCACAACCTTTCTACGTGCACATGCCCTCCTTGATTATACACGAGTTAAAATGTCCTGAATCAGGGATTCAGGAGTTTTACTCAGAGAAGACCAGGAAACAGAACAAATAAGGCTTGGGCTGCTACCCAACTCCCTGCTTTCCAGAGAAGCCTCACATACGAAGCCCAGTTGCCCAACACATTTGAGAGCACAGGCTCATCCAGTCCCAGCAGCATCAAGTGTCCAGGGCCAAACCCAGCGACCTCACCCTACGGGGTAATGGGGAGAGAGGAAAGTGGATGGACGAGCATCTGGCAGAGAGCCTGTGGCTGCTGATGCCTCAGTGCTCGGCCACTTTGGTCAGATGACCACAATAAAATACTGCCCTGAACCTTAATACAAGGTTCACGAGGCTGCACGCATCAAAAACATGACGCTTTCCAGCCCTGTGGTTTCTAGATTCTTGTCCTCCTCTTTCATTTACAGTGTCAGGACAGTGCCAAGCTTCTCTCCCACATGACTTCTGCAAACTCTGTTCAAGGAAGCAGAAAAGCCTGCGTAAGAAAGGGCCAGCTCCAGCAGAGCAGTGGTTTTGTTTTCCTGCAGTCTTTGTTGTGCAACAGCACCATCCAGCTGTCAAAGACAAGAGTGAAACATTTCAGCACCGCTACCCAGATTCGGCTTTTGTAATACTTGGGATTAGAGAAGAACACAGCCAAGATGCAGAGTTCTAGAGCTATTACAAAAACGGAAAATCTTCTCCCTGCTTTTGAATGAATCATATTAGTCCTTTATGCTGAGTTCATGTATAGGCATGCAAAGGTATGATTTAGAGGAAACACAGAACCAACCCAAACCAGTTTATTTCTCCTCAGTAAGACTGGCAGCCTGTAGCTTGTCAGTGTTTCAGTGAAATGTGGAATATAAACTCTCAGATATGAGRAAGAGACCATCATCTTTGGCTTACAACCAGAGACAACCTCATTCTAAAAATTAATGGAAAAAAATCAACCATCACATACATAAATCATGGTAGTTGGACTATAGACTCCTATCACCCTAGGTTTCAGCAGTAAAAGCAGAGASAGCAGCCTCCAGAAAGGGGAAAAAACGCCCCTAAAAAAGCAGATGAGGCTAACAGGGTAACTCTTGAGCAGCATTATGACAYGAGGAAAACACTTGTTTTCTAAGACTTTCCAATATAAAGTGGTGTTGTTTTAAAGTGTATTTCCACTGAGTATTCTTGCAGTTACAAGCAAATCACATTCCCCCCAAACAAGTGGCTACCAGAATTAAACTCATTAAGCCCATATMGCTACTGCCTCAGTTACCCTCACACACTCCCTGAGAACCCAGCTTTGCAGTAACACACAAGCAGCAGTTCACCATGTGCACTCACTAAGTATCAGAAAGTCCCCAACACTGGAAATTATTCTTATATTATCTTAGCCCACCCTGGGATCTCACTTCAGCATTGTAGGGTATTTTGAATCACAGAATGTGTCTCTGTTTCTGGTTTTCTAAAGTCCAGTAGTTTGAAAAACCAAAACTCTGCAGAGCAGTACAGGCTGTTGAGCTCTAAAGATATCAGTCATCTCTTGCAAGAAAGCAAAAAGTCGAGACCAGCAAGTAATAACAACAGGAAGAATTTGCAAGGGTGACAGCCTAGGAGAAAAGTCCTTTCTATGCTCAAAGGGTGAATCAGAAAGGAAAACGTAAGGCAGACAGGTGAGATTAATGCAGGAAAAAGTAATGCATGAAGAGGAGGGTCACAACCACTTCAAGAAGAAAAAATGCATTTCTTCATATCTAAAACAGAGAGCAGATTTAAGTGCAGGCCCAGTTTAAAAGTGCATTATCAGGAAAATGGCAAGTGCTAGTTTGAAAGCCAGAAACTAACAGTCTGGCTAGTTAGAAAGCCAGAGGAGAAGAAGTGCTGAAGAAAAAGGTGCAGCAGAGATGCCGGATGACAAGCTGAGCCAAGTGCCATTAGATGAGAGCAGCAAGGCCAGAAGACTCTAGAGATAAAACCCTAACAAAAAGGGAGCAGTTGGGCTCCCTGAAGACTGAATGAACACATCAAAGAGGTATTGGCCATTAAGGAAATAGCATAGCTAAGMTGGACTATGAAAGGAAAAAAACCTATTCTCATCAAAAGGGTAAGGAGCATACAAAACACAAGGTCTTCAAAAAGGGGACCTTTATTAGAAAAATCATTGAAGGACCACACGAGCACAGAGAAAGAACAAAACTATCTGGGGAAAAGGGTGGAATAAAGCTACAAACAAAGAGCTAGAACCAATGGAAGATTCAATTTGGGCCACGCAGACAAGACAAAAATACCAGTAAGCAGGAGAACACTGATAGAGTGTGCAGGGGATGGACAAGTTAGAACTTCTGAAGTAACTATGAAAGTTCCTTCTGCACAGTACAGACAAGGCACAATGACAGCAGAGTTTAAAGCACAAGTACAGAGGGGGGGAAAAAAATCATTCAGAAGAAACAACGAATTTGGTAACATTCGAAGACTATTTCCTGCACCAAAACCCACTAACCTCAGAGTTTGCTGCATGGGTTGGAGGTTGGATAGTGGTGCACCAGGAGCTGTATGCTTAAAAGGCACCACTACATGCTCTTTCCAGTAAGAAAGGATATAATCAATCCACTGCAGAAACTTAAATAAGAGCAGCAAGAAAAAGACAACCTTGCAAAACACAGTAATAAGAAGTTATCTGCATTAGCTACAAGTCAGGACAAACAATAAAAGAGAAGGTGGAAACAAATCTGGCCACGCATAAAAATAGGCCTTTAATGAAAAGAGAGGAGACATGACAGCCAGGAGGAGAAACTGGAAGCCATGAAGTCTTTCCAAAACACTCTAAATAGCTACAACACTTCTACATCATCCTCCATAAGGGCAGCCAGAGTTCTGCCAGCTTCACTGCAGAAAGTCTTAAAGGATTTCACAGGGAACTTGAGCCCACGACAGTGTGTTTTCCTGTTTAACCACAGGGTATAGTTTTAAGCCAGGACACTAGGAAGGTCATCAAGGCAGGAAGGTAGCATTTCACTAGACAGGAGCCTGATTACTCCTAGTAACYGTCCACTTTAGTTAAGGACTCAATCTTGCTCAAGATTGGAGTTCCTGCTCAAATCATACGAATCCCCTATGAGCAAAGGTTTCCAAACCCAGGCCATCAGCTGTGCAGAAAGTCTTACATAGATGTGCTATAGTTAAACCTGCAATGTCACTCAGAGTATATGTTTACACGTCTAGTAGCTTCCCCCAAGTGAAGTATCTGTTTACTATCCAGAGAAGGCACTATTACTACTCCGTTCAGAGCCAAGTTCAGTTTATCTTCCTTAACCTCCCTCACCTTGTAACAAGCAAAGCCACTGAGGTGATTTACAGCAAGCGGGTGCTCCCGGTGACAAGGATGGTGACAAGGCTTCCAAAGGACCTCTTGCAGAACTGGGGGGCTTCGTTCATAAGCGGTCTTATTTAAACCAGAAACATTGAACACAGTCCACATGAAATCACTGATGAAACCACATGAGAAATGCAGAACAACTGCCAGAATAGCTAGGTAGAAGTGTGCTGCAAAGGGTCCAAGTCTGCTTCATCCTTAGTTGCATCCATATTGTACCTCCCATCATTACCTCTTTGATGGACCTTTTTTGGGGGGAAGACTAATTTGATAGTTATCCATTCACAAGTTTCTACTTTCAAAGAGCCTAGACAGAAGCTATATCAGAAACCAGTTTCCAGTGAAAAGCAGTTTCTGAGGTAAATAAGAAAAGAATCAAAAAAAAAAATCTCATTTCAAAGTTCAAGAGCTTATTTTAATTCAAGATATGGCAACAGTAAAGTTCCCAGTTTAAGCAGCTTGCTGCTGACAAGTCTTGGTCTGTACAGTGCAGAGTATAAGCCAGTGCCAGGATGTGKTTTTTTTGGTCAGTAGGGCTTCCCTATTGATTCCAAGATTTTCTTTCTCTCTTCTGCTGAGGGCATCTCTGGCTTCACTCCATTTCTTCTCCTCTCCATCTTAATATCTTGCTGAAAATAGAAGAAAGTGAGAACGAGAACAGAGATTTCTGAAGTCTTTGCCTCTACTGAATAAGGTTCAATAGAAAAGTATTTTTATGTACCAAAATCTAGATACTCTATATCTGATCACCTGGTAACTAGACACACTAGTGCTTATTTTTTAAGCTGATAACTAGATGCACTAGTACTTAGTCTAAAATACCACAGAGTTCACCCTACTGCCTCAGGGAAATCAAATACTCTCAATTACAGTATTCCCACAACAATGTCAGACTAACAGACAGCTGTCTGACAAWAGATCTTTTTTCATCATTTGTGCAACTATTTAAAGCATCACCTGAAAAACTCTTTACTTGCAAGGTATATGCAAAGAAAATAGCAGCTCAACTGCAGACAGTTCCTCATAAAACTTTTCTACTCAGGGGAAAAAAAAAGCTAGGAAGAAAAACAGTAGACATTTTACCTCAGCTTTCCTTATATCCATTAAAAAAAAAGGCTGCTACAGAAATATCTGACAGAGTCAGAGGGAAACATATTAGGCACTGTAAAAACATCCACTTACAAATCTAAGAGGGCAAACTTAGGACAGTCAAGTAGAATAGGTTGATGTACATCTGCTTAAGTCTTCCAGTAGCACATACTGAGGCTACCTAGGAACTACACCTAGGTCTGTAGATCACTGTAAAAACAGGGGTAGTCAGCACCAGTAAAATCTAAGGAGTTCAGAAAGCAGTGTATATCAGAAGTCTTATAGTTACAGCAAAATACAGAGTAAAGTTTCAGCTGAACTGTGCTTAAACCTGCTTACCCAGAATTTCCTGCAGTTTTTGTACTTCAAAAAATAATCAGTACACATACTCTTGTCATAGTTGTTTTCATCCATACATTTTATAGAGGCATCTGTTTCCTTTAACAGGGAAAACACATTTCAGCACTGGGAGAAGTTACTGTACTAGAAATGTGCAAATTCCAAAGTAGTATTTAATGTCTATTAAGTCAAAAGGCAGCTACTCATATGAAAGAACAAGAGCAGGCTAATATCCATCACAAAGCAGAGTCAGTAATCCTAAGCAATGGCTTAACTTGGAGACACATTTTTTTTTTTTTTTTGCAAAGATTCCTGGTATAATTGAAAAATAGACTTTTATGGGTTAAGTAAACTTGTCTAACCAGGAATTTTGATGCTTTTAAGGACATAAACTTGAGGAGATTCCTACCAGTTCTATTACTCCTTTTTGTGAAATGGAAACCTGTAATTCTTCATATTTACYGCAGAGAGATTTTCAGCTTGTTCCCTCCAAGTCCTTCAAAAAACTTTTAATTCCAGATACTCATGCAAAAGTGCTATCCATAGTGCATTTTCTAGAAGAGTTACCTTAGTACTTTAACCTAAAAATAAATAAGCAGAAGTTACAATTTCATCTTACCGCTACACAGGGGTTTATATCATGGTCTCTAAGCTGCTGGGCACGTCTGGACATTCTAGATGGACACTTGCACCTTGGTTAGAAACAGAAAAGAAACAAGTTACTTTTTTTGAGTTACTTTTTTTGCTGTAGCTGTMTGAAGAGATTAAATTGGAATTTCCTTCTCACCATTCAGTGAAAGCCTTGATTCTACATATGAGCAGCTTATTAAAGAATCAATGCAAAACAACTGTTTTGCAAAACTGTGTCTCAAAGAGCAGGGGGAAAAAAGACACTGTCTAAGAGCAGGACAACTTGCATTAGTTCAGCCCATCATCGAGATGCTCCCTAACTGATAAACTCCCACAGCAAGCGGAGTCACTGACGTGGCCCTTAGAGCAGGCTCACACATCACTGTGGTGGCCCTTGGGGCAGCCTGTGACACTGCTGGGGGAGTATCTAGTACTTTGGACAAGCAGATACAGGAAGCAGCCAACGCTCCCCCTGCAGCTAACAGGGATGGGGAGCAAATCACAGGAAAGGCTTCTCCAGATCTGCACCTACCCTGACCAGCCCACGACACCTGCAACCTCTACTGAGCTCTCCCGGAGCCTCAGGCACCTCCTCCTCCATGGCTGTATTGGAGAGGTACCCAAGAACGGGAGCAAAAGCTGTTTCCTCACAAGGGGACATCCACTTAGAGCAAGCCTGACAACCTGAAGCCCSACGCGTGGCCAGTTTTAGTCTGAGAGCAGGTCTAGGAACCGTGAGCTTGGCTCCCGTGCCAGGAGCCGAGCGGATTYCAGGCTGCTGCTCCCGATGCCATCGGCTTGAGCCGCCCACCAGCTCTGGAGGCCATGGGGCAGTGRAGGAGCTGCCCCAAACAAAGACCAGCTGCAACAAAACACACAGGCAGCGCTTAACACACGATGCATACAGGAACACAGGACTGAGGAAGAGACTCTAACAGCAACCCTAAAATACAACTGTAATCTCTAAGGAGATCAAGAAAGAGCACTTTTGCTTATGCTCAGATTTTTTTTTCCAAGATACTGCTCCTAAATCCCAAGTTCAAACGTGTTTCTGATTCTGTTCGAGTGATTACTTCAGACGCGCAGTAAAAAGCCAATTTTGTGCAATATCAGCTATGAAAAGGTCAAACATTGCTGGCCATTACCCACAGGCAAACTGAGARAAAACATATTCTAGATACAGACTTTTCGCTCTACTCTTTCTGCCAATAAAACTAAGCTAAGTGAATATGTCAGAATTTGCACAGTTCACACAAYGAACTTCAGTATAATCACCTGGCAGTTAAAAATATTATTTATTTTACTTTCCACGTACACAATCTCATGAAAATGGCCCTTAAAGGGAAGAGGGGAATGAGGGAAGAGGGAAGAAAAAAAAAAAAAAGAAAAAAAAAAAGACACACACTGGAAACTCTTCCCCTTTCCTTTTAGGGCCTTACAGTGTCTTAAGCAGATTTACTAGGTCAGGTGAGCAATATATGCTTTTTTTTTTAAACGGGTGCAAGAAGGTTTTTTGAGCAGGCACTTGGAAAACAGGAACCCAGGCCAGCAGAGCAGCAGCATCCCAGATGCAAAAGAAGGAAATAAGAAGGAAAAATAAATCCCCCCAAAGCAGCAGACGACACCCCCTCAAAGCCCTCATCGACACCCGTGCTGTGGACACGGAGGGCTCGGGGGTTTCGCTGCGCCCCGCTGCGCTCAGCTCAGCGCCGCCCCGGTTTTGGGAGCCTTGGGAAGTGCCACCAAACGAGCCCGTTTTCAGGAGCGCAGCACTGGATCCACCGCAGCCTCCTCCGAACGAGRATTCCCGGGTGCCCCCGGCACTGGACGCTGCGGACACCGGGATTAACCTTTTCCGTGGGCTCACCGGGTCTGCCAAGGCGCTCGCACCCCAGGACCAGCGCCCGGGCACCCGCTTAACCGAGGGCGGCGCGGGCCGCGGCCGAGCCCCGGCGGGCACCGCACAGCTCGGGACTCCCGGCGGGGCGGCCCGGCAGCTCCCGCGCCTCCCTCGCGCTCCCGGGGGGCTCCCCAAGGAGCCAGGAAGGGCGGCAGGTCGCACCCGCCGCGGATGAAGGTAACGCCGCGGCGGGAGGCGCGTTTCCCCCGCGGGGACGGGGCTCTGAGCGCGGCTCTGAGCGCGGCTCGGCCGGGCCGCTCCGCTCCGGCGCCGCCACGCTCGGGAGCGCCGCGGCTAAAGCCGGGACTAAGGCCCGGGCTAAAGCTAGGCGCTCCCGGCCCACAGGCCGGCGCCACGCGCGCCCTCCGCCGGCTCGCTAGGCGCGCGCTTACCTGCGCGCCGCGGAACGCCGGCAAACGCCGCGCAGGGCGCTGCAAACGGGCAAGGGCACAGGGCGGCGGAGGGGAAGGCGGCGCCGGGCGAGGAGCGCGGGGCAGGGCGCGCGGAGCGGCCGCACTCACCTCGGCGGCGGCGGCGCCGTCCCCAATTCGAAAGACGTCAGCCGCTCGGGCATGGCGCTTAAGTAGCGGCGCAGCCTACCCCGCTCCCGGCCCCGC